AAATGCGTAGCACCGTCGACCAAAAAAAAAAAATTGGCAAAAATTAATTGTAAGACGTAGCTACTTAAAACCTGCACTTTGTCGTACTAAAATTGAACGAAGCTTTTGTAAAAAATTTTTTGGAGTAAAAATCTCGAGTTTTAATTTATTCTTATTTGCAAAAAAATAAAAAAAAATTGAAAAAAATAGAATTGTTTATGCATTTGGGTTTATTGAACGCAGAATCTCGCCTTGCTGCTTCGCTACTGCGTTGCCTAAAAAAAGTGTTTACCAATTACGCATCATTTTGGCAAATCGCAAAAAAAAGCCGAATATTTACATACATACATACCTGTTACATGGTTCGCGCTATGAGTGTATGCACCTACATAGAAATGTGCAATTAATATATCTGCTGCGTGAAATGATAACACACTTTTTGTTGTTGTTGTTTTTTTTTTTTTTTAATTATTAATTAACCAGTTTCTAATGCGAGCATGAACCTTTAGGCCACAAATGTTAATCGACCTATTACATGAGTTCGCTGTTGGTCAAGGTTGGCATTTTTATTGTACTTTATGTGTAAATGCATTTGATTGTATCTATTTGGGATAAGACTCAACGGTATTTTTACCGTTTATGTATGTTTATGTTGTTGCTTAGTAAATATGAACTACTTAATCCAAAGTTTTTTTTTCAACATCTCCTACTTTTAGGTTTGGTACATCATGACTCCTACGTCAAAAATGGCCGCCATCCAGTATTGCCTACTTGTACTGTTACAAATTCTTAATCATTGCGGTAATATAATTTTTGCGAGAATAAGGTATTAGGGGCATTCTTCGTCAACTGATTTATTATGGTTAGATATGTATGGCGGAAAACTTTTTATATATTTATTGAATAAGTTCGAAGCTTATTAGGTACTCGAGGGTTTTTGGGGTCATTGATGGTGAAGCTGGCCATGCATTTTTTTTTTAAATTCCAAATGGCGGATCCATGATTGAATCCAACCATGATTGAATCCGTAGTTTTGTGGGCTTCAGTTGACGAAGAATGCCTCATATGTGCATAAGTTTCTATATAAATCACTTTGCATTCCAGCTGCACGTGTGGTAGCGCCAACACAGGAAATTGTGGCGCCGCAGCCTGCGATTAGTGGCATATTGTATCAGAAATCTCTCACCGCAGATCATTTATACGATGAGCCAAATACGTTAAGTACGTATCTACACACACACACACATACATACGTACTATGTATATATGGATATACTTATACCGTTATATTTAAATATATCGATGGTTCTCTGCAATATCGACACAACTCAAAATTCAACAAAACAAAACCCTTCCTTGTGTAATCCATGTCTAATCCTTACTTGGGTAAGCAGTGAAGATTACTAAACTATATAGTAAATATTAATACACTCAACAGTAGGAAGGGTTGTGTTTTTTTTTTGTTTTTTTTGATTTTGGAGTTGTGCCTTTATTGCAGAGGACAATCGATATTTATCATCCTTACTTACATAATTTCCCTCCCAGAATACGCACAACAACGTGACCAACTCATCGAAGCTGAGCAACTCCTTCTCACTGGCGGTCACTTGCAACTTGATGAAAATGAGCTGATGGTACATCAAATTTTCATGCGCCACAAGCTGATGGAACTCACTTACGGCATGCAAAATCCGCACGAACACGCACCGGCGTTGCACTTTTTCAAAGCCAAGCCGCTCATCGAACAGAGCAATGTTTTCAAATTCTTACAAGCGATGCCGAAGGGCGCCATTTTGCACGTACACCGCACTCCTGCGGTCTCCGTCGATTGGCTAATCGGAAATCTCACCTACACGCCGGGTCTCTTGAAGTGCTTCACTGCACGCGGCAGTGTTGTGCTGAGCTTCCGTGAGGACGCCAAGAAACATGGCTGCCGCTCGGTTTACTACAATGTGCAGCAGGAGCGTGAGCGCACACTCTCAAGGAGTCGATATGATAGTTTTTTGGGAACTAAACTTAGTTTGTACTCGCGTTTGCCGGAACGTAAGTGATGTGTAGCCATGCAGTTTGTAAGGATCTTTAGCTTTCTTTTGCAGTTGAATACAATGATCAGAACAAGGTTTGGCGACGATTCGAAGACATATTCGACACTGTAAGTGATACCATAGGCTATGAACCAGTTTTTCGTATGTTTCACTGGCAGCTGATGGAAGAGATGTACGAGGATAATATAATGTACGCGGAGCTACGCATGAAATTTAAACCGGTGAGTTAATGTGAAACATGCGGGTTGTATCCGACCTAGGCCTGTTGTTTCGGCGATCTAACTTTGCCTAGATCTTTCTCAGCTCAGAGCAACATATTGCGTCCGGGCTATTCCGTATCGTCACTAGACACGAATAAAGGCGCGAGCTCAAAAGTTGACGGCGAAAAAAGACGCATACAAAAATTTCAGCGTCAAAGACGCCAAAGTTTTTTATAAGCATCTTTTTTCGCAAAATTTTTTTAAACGCCTCTTTTCGCCGTCAAAACACTAGCGCGCCTTTATTCGTGTGTAGTGACGGTATGCTTATCCTTCGGCTTGTATCAAACTCCAACCCAAAAACCTATTTGAACTGCATATCCCAGAAATGGCTCCATTCGCACTGCACTTCGGCGTTGGCGTCGTGCGAGGAGTCTCCACACCGTAACTGGACGCAGTAACGCGAGTCTATCTTGGCAGTTGAAGCTCCGCGTCTACCACAGGTAGTTATTGGGCCCCGATTACGGCATTCATAGGCCGGGTGACCGACTCCCTGTGAATGCCGTTGATCACTCGGCAGTAGGTCGTCGGTGCCCCCTGACGTGCCTGGGCGGAGGCTGCTCCTAGAGAAAGGGTCTGCTAGGGTGCTCACGTCCGTGGCATGCCACCACAAATTGCTTAGGAAGCACTTGCGCCTCGCTGTGTAGTTGGTGCTTAGGCGATATCGAAAGGCACCCTGTCTGCGGCTCCGTCCACTGTGTCCAACGAGTCCCCGGCGACCAAACAGGCGCAGCATAGTTTAGAACCGGCCGGCCAATTGCGTTGTATGTTACCAACAACGTTTCTTTGTCTTTGTCCCAGGTACTGCCGGTGAGCGGCTTGAGGACCTTGTTGCGGCTCTGTACTTTGTTGACAACTGCGATTGTGTGCATGAAAAAGGAGAAGAGGCTTTCAAAGGTGACCCCTAAAGTTTTTGTGTTTTTCACTATTGGAATTGGTATGCCATCGACGTGAATTCCTAATTGAAGCCTAACCTCCTTCGTCCAGGTGGAGGAGACGGCCACCGTTGATTTCGTTGGGGAGAGTGTTAAGCTCCTTGCAGTGAAAAAGCGAGAAAGTCTGGGGAGATAGCCGTTTACTTTTGAGCAGAGGTCTTCCATTCCATTCGCAGACGCCAATATCGAGCAGTAGTCAGCGTATGAGATGAGGGAAACTCTCTCAGGTGGCTGGGAGAGCTTAGAAATGTAGAAGTTAAACAGTAAGAGGAAGAGGACACCACCTGGTGGAACCCCTTGTTTGATTCTTCTAGGTTTCGGGGTTTGATCACGGAAGATTACTGACGACTGTCTACCACTCATATGATTCGCCGATCACCGTTTGAATGCCTGTGGGAGAGGAGGCCTCCTCCAATGTCTTCTATTAGCGTGGAATGACAGATGGTGTCAAACGCCTTCAACAACGCTACTAGGACTGTTCTCTCACAGGGGCGATTGCGGTTTAGGCCACGTGTTATCTGTGTGTTTATGGCGTTAAGTGCTGTTGTAGTGCTGTGAACTTTACCGACACCACGTTTAGATCGGCGAACCCCAATTAACACGACTCTTTCTTTGGCTTGGCCCCATCGAAAGTTTACGTTTCATAGGCCTGCCATTAAATGACCTTGGCGGCTAATAGTCTTAAAGCCTTTACTACAAAAAAAATAAAAATAAAATAACGAGCCCTGATGTTTTTGTTTCAGCTTTATGGCGCTAATGGCACCACAGTTGCAACTGAGTACGAAGCCGCCGACATTCTTTTAGAGCTAATAGATGAGTTCAAGCGTTCACACCCCAGCTTCTTAGGTCTAAAAATAATCTATGTGGCGCATCGTGGCTCAGATGATGTTAAAATGTTTAAAGCTTTCCAAACATTCAAAGACTTCCAGTGAGTGCAACGAATATACAATTATAAATGAATTGAAAAAGAAATAATACAGTCATGTTTAAATAATTTTTCTCTCCTCACAGTGAACGATATCCCGATTTCGTTATCGGTTTTGATCTGATCGGACAGGAGGATAAGGGAAAAGCTTTGCAAGCGTTTGCGTCCATTTTACAGAATTTACCGAAGTCTGCAAAGTATTTCTTTCACGCCGGGGAAACAAGTGAGTTTCAAATCAATACCGTTAACTACAAACGAAGGAATACGTTTCCTTTTTATTTCTCAGATTGGCTGGGCTCGTCAGTGGATTTGAATTTAGTCGATGCTATTCTTTTGAATACCACACGCATTGGACATGGTTATTCGCTGATGAAGCATCCCTTGCTTAGCAAGGCCGTTAAAGAGCGTGACATTGCGCTCGAAATTAGTCCGCTCTCGAATCAGGTGTTGAATTTAGTTTGGGATTTGCGAAATCATCCGGGTGGCTATTTTATGTCCGAGAATATACCGTTAGTAATCTCGAATGACGATCCGGGTTTTTGGAATGCTAAAGGTTTGAGTTATGATTTCTATTACGCGATTATGAGTTTCGCACCGAGTAATGCTGGCTTGAAAACACTCAAGAGTCTAGTGTGGAATTCTATTAAATACTCGGCGTTGAGTGATACGGAGAAAGAGTATGCGTATGCGCAGTTGCAGAGTGATTGGTCCGCATTTCTGGATCGTGTCATTAGCGGGGAAGTAGTGTAATTTGTCCTTAGATACATACATATAGTATAGATGTATATACATAGGTGTTTTCATTTGTACGTACACGTTTTTTAGATGAATATAAAATTAAATTATAACTCCTGCGATATATTTTTTACATGAAATTTATGAATGACTACTTCATTGTACATTTAAGCATGCATTTAAGGTACGTTTTACAATTTTAAATATTTCCAAAGTGTTTCTAATCAGTATACATGTGTTCCGCTATGAAATTTTGGCAGCTTTCGGTTATTTGCAGAAAAGCGCATCGAAAGCCACCTATTGAATTGCACTGAAATTGGGATTGAGGTTTACCTCTGTAATAAAAGTATTTTCTAATTTAATTGAAATAACTCACAAAATAGGGATCACGTATAATTTGGTCTTCAGCACGGTCAATATACTTTCCCAGTAACTCGACTTTTGCGCAACGCTGTTGGCTCGAATCCTTTGCAAGGGTTTCTAGCTCATGCAAATTATGCTCATCCATGGCGAGAATATAGTCATTGTTGTAGAAGTCCATTATCGTAATCTATGAGGCATTCGAAATGTATTGGGTTGTAGACAATGTACTTCAGTATGGAGCATGTATATTACCTGTCTTCCCACATGATCTGTTGTAAGGCTATTCTCTGCCAGTACCTTGATACAGCGATCATCTGGCTTACGGCCTATATTCCACGTTCTCAGGCCAGCGCTGTCCACTTCCCAGCTGAGATCGTATTCTTGTACCCAGTGCTTCATGACGCTTTCCGCCATTGGTGAACGACAAGTATTGCCTGCGTACAAGACTTTTGTTAATTTCAACACCTATTTACATACACACATACGTACATATCTCGGTCCGTAAATCTAAACTTACCAATGCAAACGAATAGGATTTTCAAGGACTTCATGCTTCGATTTTATCAAATACTATTAAAATTTAATATTCTAAAGTTAGGGAAACAATATTCATGATTAATATAATTTAGCATGTTTCTTAGAGCCAATTTGTCAAATAAAGCGAAAACTTACATAAGAAATTTTGCTGACTTTTATATTTTTCGTTTTTGACAAAAAGAAAATCAAAGAAAATCTGAAACAGTGGAAAATTTGCAGATGAAAAAAGGTGAAAAATTATTCACTTAAAATTTTTTCCTATGAACTTGGGAAATCACCATTTTCCTTCATTATGTGTTTCCAGTTATGAAATGGCGGTCGAATCGTTTCATCCCACAAATAGCAAAACTTGATGGGTCTATTCGAGGTAGGGCCTCCAATCAAGCCATGTATGGCATGCAACCATACTTAGTTCCTATAATTCTTCGCCAACAGGCACCGCCTTTGTATTTTTGATGTTGCTGAGTTTTGAAGAATGATGGTGACAGTCCTTTGCCAGATACAAATCTGCGTCGTTCTGATTACGTAGACCCGACTGTCGTGGTATAATTTTGATAACTACTTGCACTTCTTTGCATTACTGTGCTTCGCCCTATACTATAAGTTGTTTGGCAAAAACACAATTTTTGTTTGCATTTTATTTTTTTTTTAACAAATATCTATTTATTTCTTATGCTTTCACAAAAGGGGTTTTGCATATATCACGTATATCAATCAGCAGATTTTCGTGCATTGAACATTTAAATTCACTATTAACATGCTAACTAATTTAGATTCAATTGCTTTCTTCTTAAACCTTACCAGCCACAGCTTGTTTGAAAAACGCCGCACACGCTTTAACGCATTGCTGATAAGCTTTTTCGAAACCAGCATCGCCTCGTTGCTGGAAAAGTATACAATGTTACATATTCATCGGCAAACATAGTTTAGTTCAATTGCTTGAATATTCCACTCACATAGTAAGGATCCACGATGATGCGATCACTTTTATCCAGCCCGAAATCACCTAACATTAGCAACTTAGCTTTGGAATTCGCTGGCGCAAGCGAACGCAAATCACCCATATTTTCCTCATCCATGCCGAAAATGTAGTCAAAATCATGAAAATCTTGCTTCTTTATTTGACGGGCTCGATTGTTGTAGGGTAAATCATGTTTCTTCATTGTGCTCAATGCTCGATGATCAGGTGGACTGCCACGATGCCAATCGCCAATTGCAGCAGAATCCACTTCCCAATCAGCGGAGGCGCCGGCTTTTTCGATTGTGTCAATCATTACCGCCTCGGCAATGGGAGAACGGCAAATATTACCTGCAATGAATGAAACTTACATTAAAAGAATCGCGGCAATAACTTCTCCGCATACCTAAACAGATCATCAAAATCTTCTTGACCATCTTCGTGCTATTTAATTGTAAGTATTATTTTTCTCAAATATGTCTCAAATCTATTGCACTGTTGTTCAATTTGGCTTTTGATGTCATTTATGACATTCGTTATCCAATCATATGGTTACGACGTAAGCACGTTGTCTTGTTTAACATCACTTACAACTAACATACTGTTAACATTAACCTTTTAGGGGCTAAGAGTTTTATTAGTTTCGTTCCTCAACTTTTATGGTGAAACCTGTTAAATTATCAAAAAGCAATATTGCTCTCAGAGAACGCTTTTCGGGTAAAAACTGCTAAATTTGTCAAATACAGCGTGGATGCCAGCAGTTTTTTTTAATATTGTGTGTACCTGTTATCAAATGACTTAACCTCACGATGCCCATAAACAAAACTTCTTCTTCTTATTTGGCGCTGTAACCGCCTAAGCGATTTTGGCCGAGTCCAAAACAGCACGCCAGTCATTTCTCTTCTGTGCTAACTGACGCCAATTGAAAATGCCAAGTGAAGCCAAGTCCTTCTCCACCTGGTCTTTCCAACGCAGAGGAGGCCTTCCTCTTCCTCTGTTCCCAGCATCGCGGCCCGCGTTGAATATTTTCAGAGCAGGAGCGTTTCTGTCCATCCGAACGACATGGCCAAGCCAGCGGAGCCGCTGAATTTTAATTCGCTGCACTATGTCTATATCGTTGTAAACCTCATACAGCTCATCGTTAAATCGTCTGCGATATTCGCCATCACCAACGCGTAAAGGTCCGTAAATCTTTCGCAGAATCTTCCATAAACAGAACCGATCAATTAAAAAACGAAAGAACAAAGCCATAGGGGCGATCGAGTTTAGTTTTGTAAAATCGGGGTTTTTTCTCCAGGCGGCGAGTTCAATATAAGGTACAATTTAAAAATTTTATAGTTAGTACTTCATGAAATATTCAACGGATTTTTTTAATAAAAACAGTTAAAAGAAAAACTCAAGTCATTTTCTCCATGTTTCACCAATAAAAAGTTGATGTTTATTTCAAGATAATTGTATTTTATACTATAATACCAAATATTGAATCGGACCATGTGCGACCTTTTGTTTAACACGCTATTTTTTACCATATAATTTTCTAAGTTTTTCTGAAGATAATTTTTTAAAACTATTTTTTCACCAATTTCGTGCAAGATACACGTAAACATGATTATTTTATAATTAAAAGCAGGCTTAAAAACTTGATAAAAATTAAAATTCAACGACCTCAAAAACCCCTGTAAACCAGAAATTCTGTCAGTATACTATTTTTTTTTAATTATGGACACAAAATGAATATCAAATATCACTGTGCGACCCAGCATCAAAACTCCACCAACTCCAGTACGCAGTTAAAAAGGCACTTTCTCGACGAACGAAATTACGCTCTACAAATCTCTCATCATGCCTATCATTTTATGTGGCGCAGAAATATGGAGGATGCCTAAAAAAGATGGGAAGGCTATGGGGTCTTTCGAGAGAACTGTTCTACGCAAAATCTTAGTCCCTGTTCGTGTGGGCGAAGACTACCGAAGAAGATAGAATGACGAACTGTACGAGCTTTTTAATCTAATGGACACATGGATGATGAGGCTCTAGTGAAAAGATCTTTCGACTCGGTACCCCTGGTGGACAACGAAAGAAAGGGCGCCCACGAGCACAATGGAAGCACCAAGTACAGAAGGAACTGTCTGAACTGGGATGTTCAACTGGCGCAACCTCGCAAAGGAAGGAGCCAATTGTGGAAGTTTCTTAGTCTCGGCCCAAACCGCAGAGCAACTGTAGAGCCAAACAAGAAGAAGAGTTGAATAACAAACAAAAAATAATTT